TTCACGATTGCGCGTCTTCCTGCTCGTGCCTCACAAACAGCACCGCACAGACAACATCCTGTATGCACAGAATAAAGGGGGCAGTGCACCCGAGCGCTTGTGGAGTGCTGTGTGACATCATTTGTGTGCAATGACGTTTGTAATTACAGATAATGACGCATAATGTTATAGACAGCGTTAGTATTAAATTTTTCTCTGCGACCTCATATTAGTCACATTTACTCTATTCACGTCTTTATTTTTAAATGGCAAACATAAACATGTCTGAATGATTACAGTGCACTTTCAGTCTCTTCATGTAGGTATTACCTACAGAGTAATACCATTTTATTTGGATATTTGTTGGTCTGCAAGACCCACTGAGGTTTAGTGATTGTGCACATGCCTATTGCAGCCAATTGTTCGCAAACCAAACCATGAACTGTGCAGCTAATTACCCGAAGCAAAGCTTTTCAGTCAGAGACATAAACGTCAGTTTGCTATTTTACGCGATCTTATCTCCCTTCCTGGAGTCTCAGTTGCCCGACAGCTGCTCCCAGCCAACAAGCGTCGCAGCACGTAACAAATAACCACGCCCACAAGGCCACAGCGTGGAGTTTCTACACTTTATTTTTTGTACAAACAAGATAAAAATGTGTTCATTAGTGAGCTTTATAGATGCTTGTGGGAGCAATTTGTTATTGTTCAGCAAACAGTTTTCCACTCATTTGTAGGCTTTGCATGCTGGTTCTTGCATCATATCTGACATACAAATGCTTGAGTGGTATCACACTTCTTATCTACCTGTCATGAGCAAACCATACAGACCGCATATATATGATGCTCGTAGCTACCATCATGGGCATTTTAAAGCTTTAAGCCTGGTTCTTTTAGTCGTCATGGTTTATTTAAAACCGATCATCATGCTAACATAAAGGGGTACACAGCAATAAAAGACTACTGCAGACTTGTTGACCAGTGGGGATTAATAATATTTAGTGCAAAAGCTGAAGTGGCTCCCCCTGAAAATGAGTTACTGCCTTTAAGCTGCATTGTTTTTACTGGCTCTTATACAGAGACATTATAAAAATGCTTTGAAACCAGATGTGATGAGAGAGGGGCGGTGGGACTGGGAAACGTGCTTACCAATTAGCTAATGACTTCACAGTTCATGAGCCAAGGAGCATATCTAGATAATCTGGAACATAGTATGACCACGATTTACCAAATGGACCAAAATTTCGGTCCAGCGCGACCCAAAATGTGCAACTGAACCCACAAACTCATGAGGAAAATGCTTACAAAGGTCAGGGAAGGACTATTTTCCCCCACAGACTTCCATAGGACCAGAAGTGTTCTTCAACCACAGCTATTGCTCCCAGGTGGCCGTTGAAAAGAATGCAGAAGGCACCTTTAAGAACCAGAAGCTACAGTATGTCCATCTTTTGTAAAGAACATATTGTACAGATGTCTGTAGGGGAACAACCTACTGCCCCCTCGCTGTGTGACCTGTGTAAGCATGAACTCTAGTTTATAGAAACTTTGTTGATATTAAATGGAAAATGTGGTCAGTTTTGTAAGTTATGGTATTTGGATAACAACTTATCAATCTCAAGCCAGGTTGGTTGCATCCATCTTTTATTGACTGGCTTTTTAAGCCAGCCTCCTCAAGGATTCATTGTTTTTGGCATCCGACTTTGGCTTCGGGTGCTGCTTGGTCTAAGTGCTATGCTAAGCTAGCAGGCTAATTTGTATTTTATGCATAGATGTAAGTCTGGCAGTGAACACGTCTATTCATTTTAATTTACTAAGACCTTTTTAAACTATTGGGAATTATAAAGGAGGCTTTGTAATTCCTGTCATTATTATTATTATTCAATAAAGAGCCATGTCAGAAAAAAGTCAAAGAAGGTAAACGTACTAGCTGGATATAGTGGATTACTAATTTTCCCAAGGGGCCACATGAGAACTGGAGGGCCTCAACAATAAGCTGAACTCCTTTTTTGCTCAATATTCATTTTTTGTCTTTTAGCTTACTGGTCTCGCTCCCCTAAAATTAAGGCATATTGTAATAGCCTTGAAAAGTAAACTGCAAACTCTCTCTACAGATGTATTGTACTAAGTCAGGTTCTGCGTTTAAGGTCATTTAAGTGTTCCAAAGCTACCCTCTGTCTGTGGTGTAACATTAAAACTTTGATTGCTTTTAAAAGTCTGTTTTGTGATTTCAAACACGCCCTTCCTGATTAGTAGCTTCAAGCCTGCAGGCCCAGGGCAAATAATTAACCTCCAATTCTGCAATTATCCCAGCAGGCAAAAGAAGGATTGAAAGACAGAGAGGACCTGAGCTGGAAGTGCGTCATGCTTAATTTTTGAATGCGTCGACTGTTTTTAGTCACCAGTCACACACTGGCAGCAATCTGCAGCACTTTGGATAACCTGTTGATTCTGAAAATGGTTTCATTTTCTCTTTACGTCAAAAACCAGCCGGATCTAAACAACCATCTTTCCAAACTAAATAGACCCACATCGGCATGCAGTAGTGTTATGTTAGAGTGGGTAAAGAAACTCAGCAGGGCTTTAAAGATTGAAGAGATTTAAAACAAGGAAATGAAAGTGTGAAAGCCCGTCTGTCTGTGTGCCTCTGGCACTATAACTTACTAAAGTCAAAGTATGTGGTTTTATTCCTTATGCTTGATGATAAGAAGTTTAAATTATGTGTCTTTTACCATGAAAAACCACTTTCCATGTCATTTTAACCTACAAAATATTGTTAAAAGCTGCTTTAGAAGGCTTTTCTACACTCAGGGGGTCACTTAATCCAGTTGGAGTTTCTGGAAATCAACGTGTAAGCACATGGATACAGCCTGGTGTTAATGACAGAAAGAGACCAGCGTCATCATGGGATACTGCCTCTGCCTGCTGGTGATGACAGATCAGGCGAGGCTGTGATGTGCAGAGGACAGTCAGGGAGAGTGTGACAGTGGTTTTCCATCTGCTCTGATATTGGTTGTGCAATGACTAGTTTGGCTCTTTAGAGTGATGGTGTTAATGGTCATTTTGATGTGAGGGTCACCTTGTTAGTTTAAAAACGAAGTCTTTTACAAGACAGGAAATATTGGTGCAGTGACATGACAGATACATCACAGTGTGTTGCTTTTTAAATGTGATGTGCTCCTTGACAACGACAGGTGAGAATGAAGGAAGGAAGCAGCAGACTTTCAGCACATTTCTCTTTGACCAGACTCGCTGCTGGAAAAAACACGGCTGAGAAAAATAAAAGCTTTGCAGAAAAAAAAAAAGTCAACAATAAGTAGAAAGTTTAAATACGGCATGTTCCTTTATTCACTTTTGCATCTTTTTGTTTTAAATCAGCATTCAGACATGACTTTCATGTCATTTCCTTCTTATTTGGGTCTTTTTGCACTTTTATCTATGTACAATAAAAGCTTTCAAAACAAAAATAAAAATTTAATACAATAAAAACAATATAAAAAAGCTGCCATTTGGTCTCAGCTTTAATTGTTGTCAAGATAGTTTATTAAATCCAAGGCAGGGCATTAAGTTACACCTTGTTACACCTTGAATTATTGACATTACTGGCTGAAGGTCAGAAGGATGACGCTCCTACAATCTGTGTGTGTCCAGGAGGAACTGAATATACAGAGAGCTGCACAGCTGGTCTACCTGTGCCAATACTCCCTCCTTGTGGTTTAGTGAGTCATTACACTTCAACGCAGAGCAGTGAGTAAAATTAGGTTTATGCACAGAAGTGAGAGAAATGCTCAATTTAAAAAAAAGCACATGCCAGCATTTATGCATGTCTTCTATTTAAATTGACTATAGACAAAAATGAAATCTAGTGTCAGATTAAGCAGTAGAATAGAAACATCCTCAAACATGTTTTGGAGCACAAGAGGGACTTTAAAAAATAAGAAAATGAATAAAACAAAATCTGACATTGTCCCTTTTCTACTTTGTTCTAAGACATTTGAACTAATGTTTGAGCAGCAAATGAAAAAAATAATTAATAAAATAAGTGTAACTTCTCTACTTTATCATTACACGCTAATAGCGCTGTATAAACAGCGGAAAAGGCCTCAAAGTATCTCTGCAGAAGAAGCCGATACCTTTTGTCTTTTCACTGCATGATGCCTACATTTCCCACGGTGCAACTTGACAAACAGATAATCAGGTGTCCTCACAGTATTTAATGTAAGCTTGAAATGCAAGCCCTTACCCTCAATAACAACGCCACAAGTGACAATTTAGCCAAAACGAAAAAAAAGTTTGAAACGTTCAACTGAGGTTGTTTCCTCCTTTAAATGAAGTAAAATGTAGAAAGCAGCAACACCAGATCACAAACCCTGTTTTATGAGCTGTGCCGTAAACTTAGTTAAAGAGAAAAGTTGGACAACCTTGAAGCTCTATTCACTTTAATTACACTGCAAAAGCATTTTTTGTGCAACAAGCTTATAACTAAGCTTAACAAGTAAGTAAGTAAAACAGTGAGCTGAATTTATCATCACTTTCTGTTTGCAGGTACCTGGTTTGAAGGTTTCTAGGTACCTGCTAGCTAAGAGGAAATACAGCAAATTAATTAAAACATGTCACAGAAAAGCAAAACAAACCAGAATCTGTAAGGCCCCACACTTTCCGTATGGCTCAAGTCTTTAATAGTAGGAGTAAAATGCAAAGAATATAAACACTGAACTATTCTGTAAGAAATGAGACTGTAGGCCTGCTTTCCACCATTCAAAGATTAAATGTAGATATCAGACCAAAGCCAGTCGCTGCATTATTGACGGTGAAGAGAACAAATTCATTTCGCACAAGTCGGAGAAAAGAGTCAAAAAGCTCCAGGAAGATGATGGTAAAGTCCCTCATACAGCATTTAAAGCTGCAAGGTGAATACACTCAGATTACTTGTAACAACACTGACAGGATTAAAGTTAAAAAAAAAGATAATGTTATTTTCTATTTTGCTTCAACTGTCAACAAATCCCAAAAAACAACAACAACAACAGCTATAAATATAATTACAACTTCTCTGTCCTCTCTGCGACTGTATGTCTTATAATTTCGATGACACTGTAGGTGATTGTTTGCTGTGTCTCAGTGAGAAGAGAGTAAAATCCACCTTAAACAGGACACAGTCACTGGGTTACACCGCCTGACTTTGATGGTTGCAGTCCTGCCCCTCGTGTGTGGTGATGTAGGAGAGAAGGTCAATCGATGTCACGACGGCAAATAAAATCTCCCTCTGGAGGGCCGACCCATCGACCCCGTCTGCACAGAGACACAAAACTGCTGATGGACACAGATCTGCTAATCTCATAAACACGTATTTTATTTACAATAGAGAAAATATATCAGATCTTTAAACTGAGACACACTGTTACAATAATAATACAATGTTTAAAGCGTTAAATGTTGACTTCAGAATTTGATGGCAGCATCACGAAGGAAAACAACAAAGGAAAGACAGAACTGCAGTTAAAAGAAGAGGGGATGTTACACAGTGTCGAACACGGCCGTGTCCCAACTTCATTCAGACATCAAATTTAAAATCAGTTCTATTGTGAATAAAATATCTGATTTTTTTAGGGGGGGG